CATCATCATCATCACCGTTATTATCATTATTACAATTCTTGATATCATTGTTATTGTTATCATCATTATTATTTTATTATTTTTCCTAATATAATTATCAATGTCAATATCACAGTTATTAATTTTCTACGTTCTTTTACTTTATTAGCCTTATTCTTTCAAATATCCTCATCATCATAGTATCCTTCATAATCAGTGCCGGAAGTTCTTTTTCTTAAGAATTGTGAAGTTACACTTTCCCTTTATTGTGGTGTCTTTTATCGAACTAGCATCGTGATATTCCTTAACATTATTATCATTATTACTCTTATTATATTTGTTATTATTATCATAAAAATGCTTAATATTGTTATTATTATTATTATTATTATTATTATTTATTATTATTATATTATTGTTATTATTATTATTATTATTATTATTATTATATTATTATTATTATTATTATTATTATTATTAATTATATTATTATATTATTAGTTATTTTACATATATATTATTTATTATTATTATTCATTTATTATTATTTGGTTAATTTTCATTATCAACATTATCATTATCATCATTATTAACACTTTTGGTACCATAATTTTTTATTATTATTATTATTATTATTATTATTATTATTATTATTATTATTATTGATTTTATGATCAACATCATTATTTTACTTATGGTCATTGTTATTATGAGAATCACTGTTTTTACTGCTATTTTCATTATTAAGATTATTCTTGTCATTATCATTTTTTTTCATTATTATTGATATCGTTAACAAAATGGTTATTAACATCTTGAGTTATCATTTTCATCCTTTATATACTTACCATGATTATTACGATTGTTATCACTTATTTCCTTTTTTACAGTTTCTATTTATATTATCCTCTTTCTTTTTCCTCTTCTTCTTGTGCTAATAATGATAATAGTAATTGTTATTATTATTATCATTTTTATTGTTATAATAATTATTATTGTTCTTATCATTATTATCATAATGTTTGTTATTATAATCAACTAAGTTATCATGATTCCCAATATTATTTTCCTATTATTATTACAATCATTATTATCACTATAATTATTAACATCATCATCATCATCATCATTGTTATTGTTCTTGTTGGTTTTGTTATTATCATTATGTCTACATAATTCATATTGTTATTAGTAGTATTAGTATAAGTATTAATATCACGATCTTTACAATGATAATGACGGATAAGATTTTAATAAAAATATATAAATAATGAC